AGCCCGTCGGTCTACTCCGGTTGACCGTGAGTTTGACCATAAACGAAGGATGTTATGTAAGGAAATTGGGCAAAGCTTGCGTAAGGACCGAGAAGCCTGGTGGTCGAAGCGTGCTAATGAGCTGGAAGCAGCAGCTGCATCTGGTAACTACTGGAAGCTCTTCCAACTCATCCGAGCCACTGGCAGCAAGAAGTCTGGTGTGAGTGAAACAATCTGCGAGGATGATGGGATGCCAATCACTAACATCCATCGACGTCTTGGACGATGGGCAGAATTTTTTGAAGGGCAGTTCAACTGGCCTGCTGCTCCGGCAACATCGGTCAGACTGTCCTGCCCTCCATGGCCGGTGACGACTGATCCACCAAATGAGGAGGAAGTCCGCAAGGAACTCCAACTCTTGAAACGTTACAAATCACCTGGCCCAGATGACTTACCTCCGGCTCTTTTTAAAGATGGTGGTGACTTTTTGACTAAGGAATTGACGACGTTGTTTACAAAGGTCTGGGAACTAGAGAGTGTACCAACATCATGGAATGAGTCGCTAGTTGTCCCTATCTTTAAAAAGGGTTCACGTCGTTCCTGTAACAACTATCGGGGGATAAGTCTACTTCCGATTGAGTCCAACCTATTGGCTTCCGTCATACTTCGTAGGTTGTTCAAAACCCGAGAAAGATTGACTCGCGAGGAGCAGGCTGGTTTTCGTTCTGGTCGAGGATGTGTTGATCATATCTTCACCCTCCGCCAAATGTTAGAACATCGCCATTCTTATCAAAGGCCAACGATCGTAGTGTTTCTTGACATCAGGGCTGCCTTCGATTCGTTGGACAGGACTGTTCTCTGGGATTGTCTATTGAAGAAGGGTGTGCCTGAGAAGTTTATTAACATCCTAAAAGCCCTACATACAAACACCTCAGGCGGAGTGAGGGCATACAACCACCTCTCTCCATTGTTCCATTCGAGTAGTGGGGTTAGGCAGGGTTGCCCAATCTCACCATTCCTCTTCAACTTTGCCATCGATGACATTCTGGAAACAGCTCTGATGAATGTAAGTAATGGCGGTGTGGATCTGTTGCCTGGAGAAAGATTTCTCGACCTTGAGTATGCGGACGATATTGTCTTACTGTGCGATAATGCCCAAGCCATGCAATCCACACTTAATCAGTTGGCAATCAGTGTCCGTAGGTATGGTATGTGCTTTTCACCTTCGAAGTGCAAAGTACTTCTACAAGACTGGCAGGATTCCAATCCTGTACTCACCCTGGCTGGTGAGCAGATAGACGTAGTCGAGAAGTTCGTGTATCTGGGTAGCTGCATAAGTGCTGGTGGTGGTGTGAGTGATGAGATCAATGCACGTATAGTGAAAGCCAGAGCGGCTTATGCTAATCTGGGCCACCTTTGGCGCCTTCATGATGTTAGTCTGGCTGTAAAAGGTCGGATCTACAACGCGTCAGTGAGAGCAGTCTTGCTCTATGCTTGTGAAACCTGGCCTCTCCGAGTTGATGACGTTAGACGAATCTCTGTGTTCGATCATCGTTGTCTCCGAAGGATTGCTGACATCCAATGGCAACACCATGTCAGTAATTCAGAGGTTCGGCATCGTGTGTTCGGGCACAGAGATGACAATGCAATTGGTGTCACCATCTTGAAACACCGACTTCGGTGGCTTGAATATGTTCTACGAATGTCGTCTCAGAGAATTCCACGTCGTGCATTATTTGCCGACTCTGGGACTGGTTGGAAGAAGCGGAGAGGTGGTCAGTGCATGACATGGTGTTGTGGTATGAAAGAAAGCTGCAAAGGACTGGCTTGTGTTGGTCCTTCAGGACTCCCTGGTTGGGGTCCGAGAGATGGTGCAACACAGTGGCTAGAGACGTTATCAGATATGGATCAGAATAGAAGCCAGTGGCGATCCTGCTCTAACCTTCTTTTACTTTCTTCATAAAACGTGGTTGTATCTTCCTTAACTGAAAGATTTCCTCTAATTGTACCTTTTCGTTTCCCCCATTATTATTACGCTACCTTACCTTATTCTGTTCGTTATTGCTCTTTTTTTAAACACTCCTCACCTTTTTCCTTCTCCTCTTCGAATTCTCATTGTTTTGTGTGGCGCATATATATTTGGTGCCCTTTTGTACCAATATTTATGTGTCCAGATAAATAAATAATACATAATACTCGTAGTGACTAGTCATTTTATTTAAAACAGATTGACACGTTTAGAAATGTCAAACCGAAAATATTTTATGATTTCTTACTGTTATCTATTCACCAATAGGTATAGGTTTATTCGTTCGTCTTTGAGCCGTACTTTTTGTATGATAGCCTACTCTACTAAACTGCTCAAAGAGAACTAATGGAAGTAGGATATAGATCCGTTACCTGTAATATCCTTTCCATTCAATCGTCAGTTAATGCACAATTCTCTGGACAATATTTTATTAGGACACTGTTTCTTTCTACTAAATATATTGAGATATAAAAACATTTCGCCTTGAAACTTTCATAGACGGAAGGAAAATCTATGCTAACACCAAAAGATGGCTGTATTTTTTGCTCCATTGCTTACGGAAAGACAAATCAAACAGTCTGTTTCGAAGTAAGTTTTGATTATTCTTGTTAATCAATAATTTTTCCGAACACTTATGAAAGACCAATGATTTAGTGATATTTCATGATCACTTACCGAAAGCTCAGTATCACTTTCAATGTGTTCCTAAAAAGCACATAAGGAACGCTAAATATTTGACTCACGAAGATATACCACTAGGTAAACTCTGGCTTTGCTTCATGTAAATCAGTTATGGATATGATGAATTGCGGAAAGAATTATCTCACTAGTCAATTGAAATTGGACCCAGACGATTTTCTGTAAATTATCATTTAATATCAAATAAGTTGTAGGTTTGGATTTCATTGGCCACCATTCAATAGTGTCCATCATCTACACATGCACATCCTTGGACCTAAACAACTTATGAGTTTTAATCTAATGTTTGATCCGCGGTTTCATATTTTCCGAAAGGTAAGTGTGCGATCGTACTTATTTTGACGCTTCTTCTATCAATTCTTTGCTAGGTTGAGAGAGTTTTGGACGATATTGTTTCGACAAAAAGTATGTCTTCATTATTTTATCAGATGCGAGTCTCAATGAATTATATTTTCTATGATATGTTTATCATAACTTTTTCATAGTGTGTTCAAGTATGACATAGTAGTTAAGGCTCTGGATTATCATCTAATGTTCTGCAGGTGGGAAACCCATTCCATGTACTTCGATTTATCCAGTCCAGCATCATCATTCTTTATAGGAAATCTGTGTCTCAAAGATTAGTACACAAACTTGTAATGAATAAACGAGTTTATTTGGTCATTGTAATAATCTTAAAGCTTCTGAAAACGGATATAATAGCAGTACTGATGTCCGTTAGCAACAAAAACTGCAGGGTTAAAGTGGTTCAGTCAACTCTGGAAGTCTTTAGTGACTGGGTGGATGCTTAAAAAAAAATACATTTCGGCAGGTCTTAAACACGATGAGTTGATGCGATGTATACATGGACTGACAGCTGCTGTACAATTATGCTGTGCGATGAAAGTGATATAGTTGGAAAGATAGGGTTTATAGCTAATATTAAACAGTTGTTCAGACTCATCATATAGCTAAGACTTCGGATATCAGTTGTTAGTAAAGAGACTAAGAAAGACGATTCAGTAATGTACTGAGATAAAAGGATTTTGTTAATTAGATATAAATTAAGTAATAGCTCAACTGACTTCCATCTACTTCAATTTTTCACTGCCCATCAACAATCTGAAGACTAACCAAGAGAGAGGTAACAGGAAGGTCGGACTGATAATTTTAGATGATACTTCAACAGTTAGTAATATTGACCGAGATATAAGGTAGGGTCTGGATCAACTTCACCTAACTGGTAAAAGCTTATAACTTAGATCCAGATACCCTGGATACATTTGACGTGATAATCACAATACCTGATTGTAAATATTAAGTGGTTTCTATTTATTTATGTAAACACATGAACATTGGTACAGGGAGGGACCAAATGTTTATGTGCCGCACTTCGTCATTCGACTTGTGTAAGGGCTGGAATATTGTCCGGGCGCCCAAACTGAAGCAGGTGGTTTTCTCTGGAAGTCACTTCCCGAACCTTTGACCTAGAGGTCTAATCCACAAAGCAGTGGGGAAACGTCAGGACACAGTCCCACGGTCGCTGGTGATCCAAAATAGTTTCATACGCCAGTTTTCGTCCCGGGATCCTGGAGTCTGTGTGCACCACAGGTTTCGAATCAGGGTTCCACAAATCCCCCAGACGTATCTTCCGTATCCATTAACCCGGTTAAACCGCCGGACATTGACTTTTCATCCTCTTAATTTTGTAAGCAACACCCATGCCGCGAAGCAGTAAGCAGGACTTCCCTAGCAGTGGCTGTATACGCGCGGACATGTGAGAGCGGACTCATCATCGGTTGAAGCAGGGCATTAGTGGGTGGGATTGCAATATGAAATGTTGGACCATAGTACAAGAAGAAAGATGCATTTCTCGACCCTACTGAGCAATGACGGTATCGAAGATTCTATCCTGGATGACTTTTGTCTCTTGTTCATTTGTACTTAAGAAAAACGAAGTTGTGAGGTTGTAGACGAAGAAGTAATGGCCGAATGAGACTGGGATCAGTCGTCCCATCATTACTCTCCAGTTAGAGCTCTAGAGATTGTGCAATGCAGTGGTTTGAGATGTGCAGCCCTGACTGTCAGGCTTAATCTTTAGTCGCTTTGTCAATTTTCAACTGAACTGTATCTCTTACTGAATACTGTTTCTGTTCATTTAATAATGGAAACAATTAGTCGCTTTGATTTTTTCGTACAATGTCTTAACAAGTGCTAATGAGGTGTGGCAACTTGGACCGATGCAGAAACACTACTGAATCCTACAACTCATCACCTAGCAAAATAATTGCACTACTAATTATACTAAAACAATCAAATTAAATATTGTTTATGATTATGAACAATGTATCATCACATTCGTGCTCAAAGAAAAATATCACTTCGATTTTATAGACAAAGAGAAAAACGAAAGAAAAAATCTTTAACAACTGAACGTAACATACACATGGAAATAAAAAATAAAATGGCATAAAACACATTAGATAATTTGCAAGATCACATAGTAAGAGGGGAAACTATGAATTCCTTGAACCCTCTCGTCAGTCAGTCTGTTCCACTTTTAGTTCACTTAATGTTTACGAAATGTATATAAATGTAACTCATGTGAATCATTAGTCAGACAGAATTGAGATAATTCTTACCTATCCGAGTCATAAATCACAAAATACGTGATAGTACGGTCTACTTAATTTGGCAGTTTGTTTTCTGTGAATGTTACCTTATGCAAGCAAGAATTTCTCTGGAGTGAGCGAATAATGTAGTAATGGGATTACTGGTAGACCGCATGTGTCGAGACACAAAATGAAAACAACACTCGTAGACAAGGAACTTGTCGATCATGAAAGATATTTGTTTTGTCTATAAAACTGTGATAGTTCTGCTCTATTAATTAAAACGATAGTGCATGATTGGATGAAAATTGAGATGGATAAGTTAAATGTGTGTTGCTGGTGACTATTCTTCTCAATCTAAAAGAGACAGACAAAACGTGACATGACAGAAAGATTTTCACAGGTTAACGTAAGAGTCAATAGAAAATGAACCATCCGAATTAGGGACAGGAGAAAAAAGCAATTCATATTGTGTACAGCGATTTAGGAAAAAATACAGTTATTGATTTGAAATCGTCCACTGATGATAACAGTAAATATTATACATCGAAAGACTAACAACGTGTGATCTCCCGACAAACTTATCCTATCAGTAGTAAGCAGCTGATTGGAATGGGTCCGACTGAACGTCGACGGGATTTGGACTAAGTGGTTTTGGTCCACTCTGTGATCGAATATGTTGAACTCGTCGAGTCGGAGTAAGAGCTCTGACCTCCAGTTTTTGATGTGCTGCAGGCATTTGTTGTCTAGAACTGTTTTTCTTAGAAGTATTGCGTTTGATACCTTTGCTTTCAAGGCTTCTCGTAGTGTTAAATGAATGGCGATTATGGGTGCTCTAAAATGAGACAATTGAAAGCAAATCACAAAACTATTTTATCTTAGAACAAAAGTACATTACATGGCCATGCTGCACAAATGCAAATGTCACAAACTTCATTGACTTTACAAGTAGACATCCCGAAAATACACATGATCAGCAGGATTACTTACAAGGGGAAAATAGACTATTTGAAGCCTTCCTAGGAGGACTGATAAAGAACCCAATCAAAGTTGTTTCTATAGAGAAAACATTTTGCTTAGGTAGATTAAGACCACTGTACACATTTAGTTTTTCAATAATTTTGTAGTGACAGATTTGTGAGTTTGATAGTCTTACTTACATATGTTGCCTTTCATACGAATACGCACCGCGGACTACGATTTTCCAACCAACTCTACCTTCAGCTCTCCATTCCAACTGTTTCCACGTTCTGTTCATTCATTTAATGACTGGCTTTAATTCCTGACGCGACGCGCTCCTTGACCTACCTTTTTTCCTCTTCCCTTCAGGATTCCAAGTTAGTGCTTGCCTCGTGATGCACTTTGATAGTTTCTTCAATATGTGTCCTATCCACTCCCAGAGTCTTTTCCTAATTTCCTCCTCAAATGGAAGTTGGTTTGTTTTCTGATACAGTAGGCTGTTGCCGATGGTATCCGGTCAACGGACATTGAGTATCTTATGTGGACAATTGTTTATAAACACTTGTATATTTTTTATTATGGTTGTGGTAGTTCTGCACGTTTCAGCTCCATACAATACAACTGTCTTAATGTTCGTATTTAAGATTCTGGCTTTGATATTGGTTGGCAGTTGCTTTGAGTTCCAGATGTTTTTCAGCTCTAGAAATGCTAACCTTACTTTGCCAATCATTTCCTTCACATCTGCATTAGATCTTCCTTGCTTACCAATCATGCTGGCCAGGTACGTATACATTTCCACCTGTTAAAGAGCTTCTCCATCAAATGTGATTTGGTTGCTGCACTATGTGTTGTATTTCAGGATCTTGCTTCTTCCCTTGTGTATGTTGAGGCCTACTGAAGCAGAGACTGCTGCTATACTGACTGTTCTCACCTGCATTTGTCACTGTGTATGTGATAGAAGGGCTAGGTCATCTGCGAAGTCCAAATCGTCTAAATGTACACAAGCTGTCCATCGTATTCCATGCTTACCCTGAGATATGTAGGTCTTCATAATCCGGTCGGCCGTCATAAGAAGGAGGAAGGGCGAAAGTAACCAGTCCCATCTGACTCCGGTCCTCACTTGAAATGCGTCTGTCAGCTGTCCTCCATGCACAACATTGCAGTGTAGTCCGTCGTATGAATTCCGGATGATGTTGACGGTCTCCTCGTGTACACCCAAATGAATAACATCCGTGTACTCAGTTTTCAGTCACATTCTGTGTGGAGACTAATGACATCACCCGGCTCCTCAACCTTACCCATATGGAGCTAGACTCAGACATAAAACATAATGGTTGGAAGTTGAACACCTGAACCACTTATCCACCACCCCACAAAATTACAGTTTATACTATATGAAGAAAATAGGCAATGTATCGTAGTAAACTTACAGTAGAACGTGTCCGTTTCTTGTTAAATGAATTTTCGATCGCACTTTTCGGCATAGTATCAAAAACACAAGACGGTTGAAATGGAGATTGAGTATTGTAATGTAATTGTACTTGTTGATGAATAATATTATTATCACGTAAACTATTACACAGGACAGCCTTCTCCTCAGAAGTAACTGGAATACAATCCTCATCAGATTCACTGTCAGTTGAAAGTCTTGAATTATAGCGTTTTCTTGATGTTTGTACAGTTTGTCCAACAACATCACTTTCATTGAACAGCTCTCTTGGTAACGCTTGTACACTAGCAGATCGTATAATTGGTGGCCACACTCCAGCTAATCTATCTATTTCATCACGAATGTGTTCATAGTCTTTACGTGAAACATGTCTATTGGATAACAATTAGAGAAGAACAATCCCAAGTATTTGTTTAACACACAAAACAAACAAGGATTTTCAAAAGGTTTAACTAATTAAACAACCGGTACAATTCTTGTACTATCCAACTAGTCGACAGAACATATCATTTTGCTGAAAATGTTTATTATATGGCAACTGTTACCGACTTTGAAGTGTGAAAAGTGAATGATATGAACATTCGGCTAATTAGACGAGCAATAATAGGTAAAACATTGTATGGTTGTGAGACCGATCGCCGTCAAATTGGCCTACAGAACATGCGCTTGAGGGTGAAACCGGAAGTCATGGGTTTGATTGCCTGCTGAGAGGGTCGTGTATGTACACTTCTGAAGAACCTCATTCTAGGAAAAGTCTGGCAACCAGTGCTTTCACGTTTTCAATCGTTGTCTAAATCAACAATCTGCACAACTCTATATTGAAAATGATGATTTTCTTCACATAGTATATCATTTATTCCCTGAGATTTTCAATGGTCGTTTTACTTGGAATGCTAGTATTGATGATAAGTGTTTCTCATTACAATAGACAATATTTACGTTGTACGGATTGATTTTCAAGTTGCAATATATTCTACAACATTATGATCGTATTGTTTTGATAGAACAATGAGAGCCCGATGTTGATCTGAACAATGTGATGGATTTGCATTATATTATTTCGAACTCTGTCCTCTTAGCGTTCTACTGAAATTGATAAACGGGACCAATTGCTTCAAGTCGTATTGTTGACTTAATAAATATCATACTACTAATTACCGATAAAATAATCTGCATTTCAGTAGTTAAAGCATTTCACTAAATGTATGGAAGAAATCGACCAGTACTGAACAAAATGGAATGTATTCTAGGCAGACATACCTGGGAAATAAAGCATGTTGAATATGACGTATTCGTTGTCGAAATGAAACGCCAGCAACGATTGATTCCAAAATATATCCAAATAGTAAATTCCCCAATACTATTCCATGAAGAATTATTACAAAATAAACTGAAGGGAAACGACAGAGCTGGAAATAAAATAACAAAACTAATAACATCACATACAATCCGAAGAATCTGTCAGAAATGTAAATCATTATTCAGAAAACTGTCCAACTCTTTTATGAAATGTTTTTCAGAAGATTCTCCTGTCTAGTAATCACACCCAAACCATTTGCACAACAAATACTAAGAAATCAGTGATGGAAAATGTTAGTTAGCATCATCCACAATATAACACCATTAATGATGATGCCAATGGAATTCGAGCCCTATACATTAGTTAGAAATACATACTTTCGTTCAAATTAAACAATCAGAAGAATGTTTGCCAGCTATTTCAAACAGACAATCATTCATTCATTGGAAAAACAGGGAATAATTGTGGTTAAGAATTGTTAGAATGAAATTCTATAGAAAATGGATTAAGCCTTATATCAATAAACAAAAGGATAACAAAATAAAACTGTGGTAACCTAAAAATATATGAAAACAACAAAGCAGAAAATCACTTCTTTCATAGATTGCATTCGTCTTAGATCGATTTTTGTTGGAGTATCATTAAAAACCAGGAGACACTAGACAGCTGTTTTGGCCACGTAGTGGACATCTCAAACGTGCGTACATACAAGCACTCCAGGGATCTAACACACGACCCTTACTTCAGGTCTCGCGGCGAATGCATATAGTTTAAAAAGTAGAATGGCCAGTATATTGTTAATCAACGAAAATCAACATAATTGGTCTGCAATTAATAAGAATAACTATGACACAATGCTTCGTCCTTCACCGAAATCTTACTTCGAATAATTTGCGAACCACACGGGCTGGATGAGATGTTAAGTATAAGGATCCAGCAATACATGCAATAAGGTTGACAACGAATAAATCTATAGAATTGGAAAGTCATAGAGAAAATGACAATTGCGCATTAGTTACAACCACAGTGAAAAAAATATCTGCTTAAAATTATCAACATATTCTTGAAGTTTATGCATAATATAGCCATGTATTACATGCAACATTACGCATATTCTGATTGTGATTAAAAGAGAAATCCATACTGTTGTCTGTCTTGATCAATAGTAAAGACAAGGAGAACTTATAGAAGTTGTAAACAATAGGAGGATTGTGGCTGAAAGTGGGATTTAGAGCACGCATTCCGTCCTCCATGGCACTCATCAGCTGGATATACCTGCATCCCAGTGTTGATCTTCACATTGTCACTCGAACACAATGCCTACGCTTCAAACGCTCAATCCGATATGCACTGAGCTAATGAGTCAAGACAGTTACAATTCAAAAGTTTCACACATTTCAATTCCAGTACGACTGTCCTGATTGACACATCAGATCACAACCAAATGAACATATCATCTATACGAAAATACAATAGTCTTGGCCAATTATCATCTCTCAATTTTTTTCTTATGATCCTCAAGAAGATTGTCGTAAACAACTGAACTCCCATTAACAGTGATTGTTGCAGTGCAATGATTAACATCGACTAAGTTGGAAACTTGCATCTAGTCTAAATGAATTGTCATTGCATAAACTGTCTTCTGGTATTACAAACAATCAACCGGAAACACTAAACCTAGGTTTCGTAGTAGCTGGTGGCAGTCGTCAGAAAACGAATTCATTGTTAAAATACCAATCCAATCATGAGAGGTCAAACAAATAATAATAATAATAATAATAATAATAATAATAATAATAATAATAATAATAATAATAATAATAATTTGGACAATATAAGACAATAATTAGAAAGAAACAACTTACGATTAGAAAGAATTGACCGACGATATGGTGCAGATTTAGAGAATACAATAGCCACTATGATATATTGATAGACAGATACGGAGAATATGGCCGTACTTTCATAATTTTTTAATTCATAATCTTCATGATAAGTAAACAGTGGTAAATACCTTCAATGAAATAAAGGATAATGATGATAGCAATCAAAGGAGTTGCATGAAGGGATAACGTGCTTTAGAATGAAAGGACTGCTCAATCAACCCATAAAAGTCTGTCCACACAGTAACACTACCTAGCGGATCATCGCTAACAAGATATTACAAGTAAATAATAGTAGTCTATATGTTCCTTTATCAATATTCCAATAAGTCTTAAATAATTTTTGAAACAATATAATACATCGATTTGATTACAATTATCAAGTTAATGCACTAACAGGTGCTTAAAACAGATATCAACGCAACAACCAATACAAACGGATGCTACAGATAAACATCACAACATGAGAAACATATTCACTAACCATGGTTGTAGTCGGGTAAACACAAAGACTGAAAATTGTACAAGACCACAAGTGAGTAACTGCAAACCCAATGATAACAAGGTCACAGTTGACACTAGTCGCATCGCAGGAGGTTCCACCGAGAGACGAGGATACGCCGGAGTATAACCAACTAATGGAAAAAAACCAATACATCTTTTTAAAGAAAAAATAACCAATAAACAATATTCGTGAAATTACGGAGAATGACCATTGTACCATTTAAATAATCTAGGCTAGACCACTTGCATGAAAAACACTTTGCTTCATGAAACGTGACGTTTTGCATACAAACAAACGTTCTACACCAATCAGGTCACATAAATGATTTTCTCGTTTTGCAACTATGTCTTGACTTGACACGGTTCTCTTTCAGTCTTATTCGTGCTACTGTTACCTGGTAGTCATGTAAAAATATATCCGCTGTACGTGTTTAATCGACTTCTCGGGACAATAGACAATCCAACATGAACAGCATTCAACAGTATTGCAGTATAAAGAAATTTTGCCGTTGAAAGTGATTACATTTGTATTTACCACACGAACTCCAAGGAGATCTATCACAACAGAGTAGTTGTTCAACCTGAACACTAACAATCATATACAATTTTAGGATCACGTTCAAATCCAATTGAATTTAGTGACGTACCGATGAAAGATATTAATGTAGCTTGTATTTCAAAAATAAAATGAACCCAACCGCAATAAGTAAATAATGTCTGCTATTGAGAACATGAATACATTGCAGGGATTATTTTCGATAAGAGGGAAATTCTGTTGAAGAAACCTAGTGTTAGTCGTGAAATCGCAATGATTTCCGAATCGATAGAGAGAAACTAAGGTTAAATTAAGGAAACATAAATCAATCTGCTTATTCATATAAGGTACGATAGTTCGAGTAAGGTCATCTATTCGTGAGGCTTTATGTGAAATATCCAATTGTAGATCAGAATAATTTATCCACCTGAAAAATCAATAAAGTGAATGTTGTCAGCATAATGAAAACAAGGATTGTACGTAGACAAAAGTGAGTTCCCGAATTCCATGTTGTCTACATCTAAACATCCAACATAACAGGTTAGGAGAATATTTAGTTGAAATTTTTTATCGGTATAGGGTTGAGAAGATCATTGAATGTTTCTCGATATCACGCTCGTGATCGAACGTCCGGAGTTCGATTATCGGTTGCAGAATCATGAATGAGCACTCTTAAGGAATCCCATACTAGAATGAAACGAACATCCAGTGTTCTTAGGTTTTCAACGTTTCTTGTACAAGTGTAACCGACTTGTTGAAGAATACGGCTGATATTATACACGTCCCCACATTCATGTAACAGTAAAAAAACATAGAAACATATCGACAAATTTTTTAAACTGAACTTTGAAATCCACCATGGTATTCATACACAAACAAAAAGAAAGCGAACAATCACACAGTCTAAAAAAATGATAACAGTAAGTAACCTACTAAATATTTTCAGTTTTCTCCAACGGTTGAACAAACAAACAAAAAACCAATAAGATAGGTAGTGAAGAAAAACAAACAAATTCATTAAAGAAACTTCCGACATCCGAATTAAAGTTATCTATCAACCCAGACAGAATGAATACCAGAACACCGACGTACACTATTCAGTGTATAAATAAATACTTTCTCAACTTACACGTGAGACCCAGAGTTGTGATAAGGAAAAGGTCGATGAATAAAAATTGCAGGTCAGAAATATTACTACCAATCTAGTGAGAAAGATGGAAAAAAAAACAAAAAAAATGTAGAAAAGTACCACTACAACTACCAACCACAACAAAATGATCAAAGAAAACAAGTGCTTAATTTGTAATCGGAATTTATTATTTTGCTTCGTTTACAAATTACATTATTTTTCGATTTATGAAACAATACGTCTACAATTATAATTCGTCTAGAGGAGTGAATATTCTACTGAACACTATTAATACCTACTTAAATTATTTGTCTTGATTTACAATCTGAAATGAGTATAAATATGCAAATAAAGGGCAGCCTGCTTGAGCATCTGGGCTACCTGTTCCTGTCATCTAGATATTTTAACAAGTTATCTATTTTTGTTTGTTTTAATATATCATTATGTTTATTAATCGCAACCTTTCGTTGTCAGTTACAAAAAACACAATAAGAGACAATGTGGTTGCTGGCAATATACAACGAATGAATGTACATTATTCAGATGTTTATTTATTGAACTGCTAAGATCTAACTGGCGATCACTCAATATTTATCGCCAGGATCGACCAAGAAGAAAGAAACGGAAACTTGTTGAAATACTTTGCGCTGAGAATTCTATATTGTACCAAAAATATAACATTGAATAAAGCTAATAATAATAATAATAATAATAATAATAATAATAATAATAATAATAATAATAATAATAATAATAATAATAATAATAATAATAATAATAATAATAATAATAATAATAATAATAATAATAATAATAATAAATAATAATAATAATAATAATAATAATAATAATAATAATAATAATAATAATAATAATAATAATAATAATAATAATAATAATAATAATAATAATAATAATAATAATAATAATAATAATAATAATAATAATAATAATAATAATAATAATAATAAAATAATAATAATAATAATAATAATAATAATAATAATAATAATAATAATAATAATAATAATAATAATAATAATAATAATAATAATAATAATAATAATAATAATAATAATAATAATAATAATAATAATAATAATAATAATAATAATAATAATAATAATAATAATAATATAATAATAATAATAATAATAATAATAATAATAATAATAATAATAAATAATAATAATAATAATAATAATAATAATAATAATAATAATAATAATAATAATAATAATAATAATAATAATAATAATAATAATAATAATAATAATAATAATAATAATAATAATAATAATAATAATAATAATAATAATAATAATAATAATAATAATAATAATAATAATAATAATAATAATAATAATAATAATAATAATAATAATAATAATAATAATAATAATAATAATAATAATAATAATAATAATAATAATAATAATAATAATAATAATAAAATACAAGGTATATTTAGGTGTAATTCAGGCACACGGTTGATGAATTCATTCAACACATTAATCATGGTATGTACCAGTCAAATACTGAGTTGGAAGGGAAGTGTATAATCATACAGCAATGAAACCCAAGTCTTCTTGCTATTTGCCATCAGCGTCAATCTATTTGAATTCGTCAGACGGATTCGAAATGTGTTCACGAAGGAATCAACAGATAACAAAACGAATGAATCTGACTGGTGGTTGAGAACTCTCCCCAGTAAGCACTATCAGTACTATTATTATCACTACGATTGTATTCAAAACAACCGTTGATTCAACTCCCAGATAAGAACAATTGATTTTACACCAGCACTCACACTTTTTCGAATTCCAGTGATGTGTAGACAGCAGTTTATCGGGTAGAGCACTTGGCTTATAAGCAATTAATAGCTCGCTCGAATCCTACTACATCACGTCAACTTGAGAACCCCAGTAGCATCACCGTCTCTTACACAAACATTACATAAACTCTTTAGTGCGATTACCACTATAAATATACACAAAATAGATTGAGTCTTTTGCATACAAATGATCTTTGGAGATAAACCAATAATGACTACAAGGAAACCGTGAATCGCACAACACAAGTAAAAACACGAGAACAATAGATAAGGATTTATGATATAAGAACTGCCAAAGTTCTACTTGGCACTAATTAATCTAACAACATGATGTCTGAAAACCAAATACCAGTAAATAACAAATAGAACTAATTTACTAAGTCATGAAATCGCTCCTACTTAAAACATAATTACAAGTCGTATACGACTGGAAGGAATAACTTCAGCAGGTCACTCACATACCAGTCAATATAATACGTGTAAAACAAATCAATATACAACTGGCAACCTGAATTCACCTAGTAAGCAATCAGCGATTTACCCAGTATAGTCACATATTTACTGACTAAACTTCATTCCAGCCAAAACAGTATGGTGATATTGACGTAATGGTCGAAGCAAAGCAGATAATCAATGAAAATGAACAATCATCTGTTGGCTCATTTATAACTACGAAAATAATGCTCAAATGTGGTTATGGAAATAAATAAATAAATAAATAGAGATTTTAAACATAGATCAAGTGTGTGGAGTTTCAGTTTAAATACTTCCATATTATAATCAATGAAGGAAACTGGAATACATAATAGAGCTCTTCCGATTATTTACTTCTCTTAATAATGTGATTTTACCAGGAAAAAACACATTTTGTTTTGCAACTTTTATGTATCCACTCCTTCATTGTTTAATTGTCCAATTCACTCTGACTAATGCCATAGAAATTCTACTATTTCTACCACGAAGAAACACGCTTGACTAGAAAGTAATTTCAATTACTACACAAAAGTATTTGACGTGGAATCACATAAGCGGATTAGAAAACAGTAATATATATTATATACCAATAACAATGGTTGAACCAGACTAACATTTATTAAAAAGAATATTCTTTGTTTTATGTGTTTAAACAATAGAAGGTAAAAAGGAATATCAAAACCAAACTTACATAATATAAAAGTATAACAGAGAAAAATTGAATCATTGAATAACCGACCATAAATTTAAATGCACCAAAACTAGTAGTCAACGCACAACGACCTTCACGAATAAGTGTAGGCACACAACTAATATTTTGTTGCTTCGATGTGAAAGGACTAGCAACACTGGCTTCAGCTTCGCTTAATGCAATTCCAGCATGTGCTACTTTCAATGCACCACAATCGTTAGCGCCATCACCACACATTGAAACAAAATAACCAACTGATTGAAGTGACTCGATCAATTGAGCTTTTTGTTCCGGACGAAAACGAGCAAACACAGTACCCTTCACTACAAGCTGAGAAACGCACACACAGAAAGAAAAAAAGACAGAAAACAATTAGAAACAAATCTAAACACAACAGTGCTATTAACATTGAAATATTCACGCTTCGAAACTAAAAATATATTGCAAGGTGGATAAATCACGAAAGAAACAGGAAAAGGTATACAGAAAAGTGTAGTAAAAGACTATCATTTCACTTCTTGTGCTGTCCTTACCAAGCATTCGGTAGTCCAGATCATCATTCAGAGAGACATGGTGAGATCTGATCAGTTTAGAACAAATGAAATAGATCTGAAAATCGTGAGACTAATCAAATACAGCGACGTTTCGCCGACCCGAATTTCGGTGAAAAATACCGTATTTTCATAACTACAAGTGGACAGATTACAATTAGCTGATAATTGATTAGTTACCGATATCGTGTCTGTCTAGTCCTTTTAATGTTGACCAAATTCTATCCATGACGATCCGAATCCTATATAGGGAACCAGTACTCTCAGGTGCACCTCGCAGACAAGTGTTAGTTAGCAAGAAACACAGGTCAAAACTTTCTTATCGACTACCTCCAACCACCAAACATCAAGTGGACAATTACTTTTAGATGCGTTAACAAAACGTCAACACGTCATAAACGTATGCTAATTACTGAGTTAGTACTGTTGAAAAAATACTGTGTATAACATTGACGCAAATCCAACTATGTACACACTGTAAGATGTGTGGATATCAAATTGAAAATTGGGTGTGTTTTCCATTTCAGTAAAACAGCACAAAACTTGTTTGTGCCACTGCACTTTGTTATCACACTGTTTTGGTTGTACATTGAGTGTATTTTGCATAAGAAAGTACACAAAATTAAAGACTAAGCACTCAAGTCTGTTACAATGATGAAGTATTTCAAACAGTAAAAGTCTAAACATTGTCTAGCGACAAGTACACAAAGCTGAACATGTATATACGTCATACATTACTTTGATATCTCTGCATATCAATCCACATAATACTTTAGTTACATAAAACACGTCTGCTGTGTGAATAATACATTTCTCTACACAAATGATAGGAGGTTTGAACTTAACACCTAACTAACTATCATTAAGCACTACGAGTTCACCTCAGTGAATTAGTCGAAAGACTATGTCCATTTTAAAATCACCTTCGATATACATTGATAATCCCATTATTACTCACCTTTGGTATAAGCCAGGGATAATATTCTCGTATGATAGCCCACGTTTTGCCAGACATAGCTAGGTGGAAATCAGGTCGATCGAGCATCCGTATAGATACAGAATGAGTGGGATTCAAACGGCGATTTGATACCGAATGCAAATCATCTTTCGAATAACATCCACTGCTTCCTATTTCATAATGGTGATGTTCTCGTTGACCGGATGAAGAAGCACGAGGGTGACCATTCACTGAAACATTAGGCACCGCAGTTATATCTGTCAGTGGACTTGAAGACGGTGAGGAATGCTGTTCACATCCGCGTGAACTGAGCGAAAATCAAATTAAAACAAACAAATACACACAAATAGTAATCGTGGAATTTAATAGATTTGAAAGTATTCCTCAAAAAAAAAACAATTAATGGATAGTGAGACATTTGAGTTGTGAATAGCTTCAGATCACTGCGGTCACACCAGAACACCAGGGGAACGTTATTCGACGAATTATTAGTTCGGTTTACATATCTTCAGTAAACGTAATCCAAGTAGTTGGTTAGTCGAATAATGATTAACATACTCAGCTTCAACCATACAGTTTGTGGCAAACGTTAACGAAGTTATGTGCAACGGAATTAGAACTGGCCACCAAATAGGTCAAACAAGAATCTATTAATCACGAATCCATCGTTCCGTAGGAAAAATCGTTCATGCAGATCTATAGTACTCAATAGTGAGGATGTTTATATCATGAGGTCTCGCATCTAGTTACATAATTTCGAACTGTCATACAATGGTGAACGGAAATCTGCGCGATGACTCCAATGACTTCTGATCACTCAACTTCTGGTAATTTCAACAACATCTAAACCATAAATCCTTATCTACTATGTTGTAGAAACATATGCAGGGTGTTCAGATGTCACACGATCCAGCTCAGTTCAAGGTTGAGTGAACACTTCTGAAATTAGTGATTGAATTATGATCGTTACTTGCGAACTGCCCTGTTTGTCAACTAACTTTTAACAGTATCTGTGAACGCACAATTGTACAATGCAGATAAGTTTAATATCGAAATATGGCTTGAAACAGGAAGGTGAGTAATCGTATGGTTGACTACGTACTCCATACAAGCCCCCGAATGCCCTGGTACGGCCGAGAGTGGGGTGAGTCCGCTCTCCCTCTCGAAATACTCTCACACGGCCGCGCGTATACAGCCTCTGCCAGGGAAGTCCTACTCATTGCCTTCTCGTGGCGGGGGTGTTGTTTACGAAAATAAGAGGACGAAAAGCGAATGTCCGGCGCTTTAACCGGATCACAAACCAATGGTGCACATGGGCTCCAGTATCCTGCGGGAACAAATGGCGTATGAACCAATCTTTGGTCACCGGCTACCATGGGATTGCATCTCCTTACGATGCTCCACTGCCTTGTGGGTTAGACCTTTAGGTCAAAGGCTCGGGGAGTGGCCCCCTAAGATAACCACCTGCTTCGGTTTGGGTACCCGGGCAGTATCACAGCCCACACACAAACGATGAACTCTATGTCTATGGCAACTACTTTTCTCGCTCCGAAAAACAATCAATCGATTCAAGTAATTATCACTACTATTATTGTCATTATTAATACTATTATTGTCATTATTATTATTATTATTATTATTATTATTTCCCACATTATTCATCCTCTTTTATACTTATACAGCGGCTCGTCTTTGGTGGAAATCCGACTGTATCTAAACGTTCTCGAGTCACTGTCCGGTTGAAAGTTGTATGTTACCTTCGAATATGAGTACTGAAGCAGTGTTTCTGAAACCACGTACACCATTCAAACTGGCTGCCTTCAACGTTCGCACACTTATGCAGGTTGGTCAACAGATAGGGCTGGCTATGTCTTTGGAAAGTCTTAATATTGATGTTTGTTGTCTATCCGAGACCCGTATTCAAGACTCTGGGGAAGTACTACAAATTCGCTCTCCATCTGTCACTTCAAAAAGCTTGTTTTACGTGCGCTTATCCGGGGACACTGTGGCATCTTCGTCTGGTCTTGCTGGCGTTGGTGTCGCACTAAGCGCTAGAGCTGAGGCAGCACTAGTCGATTGGATCCCCAATAACAGTCGGTTATGTGCTGTTAGATTAGAAAGTTCCATCAAATTGAGAAGAAATCGGCGTGAGAAACGATGTCTTTTCGTCATCTCCGCCTATGCCCCGACAGATTGCAGCCCGGATGCAATCAAGGATGAGTTTTACCACCAGTTATCTGTTCTTCTCCAGAAAGTGCGTTCGACAGATATTGTAGTACTAGCCGGAGACTTGAATGCTCAGGTCGGGCGTCTAGGCACAGAAGGGAATCGTTTAGGTGGCCGATGGGGACTCGTTGGTCGCAGGACAGATAACGGGGACCGTCTACTGCAACTGTGCACAGACCACAACTTGTTTCTGGCTAGCACTAATTTTCGGCACAGTCATCGCCGATGTGCCACCTGGCATCCTCCCTCTGCATCTCAAGCCTGGACTCAGGTTGATCACATCGCGATCAGCTACCGCTGGCGTGGTTGTGTACAAGACTACCGCTCATTTTGGAGTACCTATCTGGACTCTGACCATGCCCTGGTCTGCGCCAATCTTGCCTTACTTTTCAGTGGCCAACGAAGTGACCGCCACCAAAAGATTGATGTTAGCAAGCTGGTTGCAACTTCTGTTGCAAATAAGTATCGAACCGAGCTAGCCTCTAGGCTAGCTACCACTCCACCGAAAAGTATAGATGAGCATTGGTTGCAATTGCATGACGCCATGAAAATGGCGGGAACAGTCAGTTGTGGGTTTGCGAAACGTCCCGCTTTTAAGCACTGGGTTTCTTCAGGCTTCTTACAACTCATTGAAGCCCGTCGGTCTACTCCGGGTGACCGTGAGTTTGACCATAAACGAAGGATGTTATGTAAGGAAATTGGGCAAAGCTTGCGTAAGGACCGAGAAGCCTGGTGGTCGAAGCGTGCTAATGAGCTGGGAGCAGCAGCTGCATCTGGTAACTACTGGAAGCTCTTCCAACTCATCCGAGCCACTGGCAGCAAGAAGTCTGGTGTGAGTGAAACAATCTGCGAGGATGATGGGATGCCAATCACTAACATCCATCGACGTCTTGGACGATGGGCAGAATTTTTTGAAGGGCAGTTCAACTGGCCTGCTGCTCCGGCAACATCGGTCAGACTGTCCTGCCCTCCATGGCCGGTGACGACTGATCCACCAAATGAGGAGGAAGTCCGCAAGGAACTCCAACTCTTGAAACGTTACAAATCACCTGGCCCAGATGACTTACCTCCGGCTCTTTTTAAAGATGGTGGTGACTTTTTGACTAAGGAATTGACGACGTTGTTTACAAAGGTCTGGGAACTAGAGAGTGTACCAACATCATGGAATGAGTCGATAGTTGTCCCTATCTTTAAAAAGGGTTCACGTCGTTCCTGTAACAACTATCGGGGGATAAGTCTACTTCCGATTGAGTCCAACCTATTGGCTTCCGTCATACTTCGTAGGTTGTTCAAAACCCGAGAAAGATTGACTCGCGAGGAGCAGGCTGGTTTTCGCTCTGGTCGAGGATGTGTTGATCATATCTTCACCCTCCGCCAAATGTTAGAACATCGCCATTCTTATCAAAGGCCAACGATCGTAGTGTTTCTTGACATCAGGGCTACCTTCGATTCGTTGGACAGGACTGTTCTCTGGGATTGTCTATTGAAGAAGGGTGTGCCTGAGAAGTTTATTAACATCCTAAAAGCCCTATATACAAACACCTCAGGCGGAGTGAGGGCATACAACCACCTCTCTCCATTGTTCCATTCGAGTAGTGGGGTTAGGCAGGGTTGCCCAATCTCACCATTCCTCTTCAACTTTGCCATCGATGACATTCTGGAAACAGCTCTGATGAATGTAAGTAATGGCGGTGTGGATCTGTTGCCTGGAGAAAGATTTCTCGACCTTGAGTATGCGGACGATGTTGTCTTACTGTGCGATAATGCCCAAGCCATGCAATCCACACTTAATCAGTTGGCAATCAGTGTTTGTAGGTATGGTATGTGCTTTTCACCTTCGAAGTGCAAAGTACTTCTACAAGACTGGCAGGATTCCAATCCTGTACTCACCCTGGCTGGTGAGCAGATAGACGTAGTCGAGAAGTTCGTGTATCTGGGTAGCTGCATAAGTGCTGGTGGTGGTGTGAGTGATGAGATCAATGCACGTATAGTGAAAGCCAGAGCGGCTTATGCTAATCTGGGCCACCTTTGGCGCCTTCATGATGTTAGTCTGGCTGTAAAAGGTCGGATCTACAACGCGTCGGTGAGAGCAGTCTTGCTCTATGCTTGTGAAACCTGGCCTCTCCGAGTTGATGACGTTAGACGAATCTCTGTGTTCGATCATCGTTGTCTCCGAAGGATTGCTGACATCCAATGGCAACACCATGTCAGTAATTCAGAGGTTCGGCATCGTGTGTTCGGGCACAGAGATGACAATGCAATTGGTGTCACCATCTTGAAACACCGACTTCGGTGGCTTGAACATGTTCTACGAATGTCGTCCCAGAGAATTCCACGTCGTGCATTATTTGCCGACTCTGGGACTGGTTGGAAGAAGCGGAGAGGTGGTCAGTGCATGACATGGTGTCGTGGTATGAAAGAAAGCTGCAAAGGACTGGCTTGTGTTGGTCCTTCAGGACTCCCTGGTTGGGGTCCGAGAGATGGTGCAACACAGTGGCTAGAGACGTTATCAGATATGGCTCAGAATAGAAGCCAGTGGCGATCCTGCTGTAACCTTCTTTTACTTTCTTCATAAAAAGTGGTTGTGTCTCCCTTACCTGAAAGATTTCTTCCGATTGTACCTTTGCGTCCCCTGTTTACTAGCACATTACCTTACACCAATCTCTTCGTTATTGTTCTCTCTTTTTTTGTGCTCCTTAGCTTCTTTTTTTTCTTTCTTTGTATTCCTCTTCGAATATTCATTGTTCTGTGTGGTGCATATATATTGGCGCTCTCTTGTACCAATATTCATGTGTACTCCATGCAAATAGTCAAAAAACTAAATAGAGATCAAAATGTAGAACATCCGAACTTATTCAAGACGTTATTCATGAATAATCCAGGTGCTGAGTTGTTAGCATGCAACTTGAAGTTCAGAGATTTCAAGGTACAAGCAAGGTAGAGATAAGATCTGGTAGTCAATGTTGGTCAACAAAAGTAATAACATTTACTTAGGCTGTACATTCGAATTTGTTGTTTGGTAAATATATATAGGTCTATAGAAAGATAGAAAAATACCACGCAAATGGTTCAAGGGCTATGTTAATGAAGAGGCAATTATAAAGCGGATATATAGGTAAGGTATACATAGTAGAATGATCACTGATGATGTGGTTCCTAGAGGGTTTTCTAAACAGTCTAGATGAAAGCGATTACATTTACATAATGGAGAAAATAAATATTGGTTTAGTAGGAGATTTTCACAAATGAATTCATATGAACTTACACACATGGAACATCTTCACACAAGCGATGTATCAATTTTCGAGATTTCCTACTACTCCTTACAGAGAATCTGTGCGGATCAACATCAGTTTCAGTCGAAGTATTATTAACAGGCTGAGATCTATGAGATTTTCTCGTTGTTCTTGTTTCAGTTGTAGCTGTCACTTCAGTGACTGGTTTGTGTAAATCTTCAGCATAATGAAATTCAACCAATGAATCGTATTGCTGGTTGAAGAAGTTTTCCTCAAATAAAGAATTCGTTGCATTAAAACTCGAGTGTGTACGTGGTCTATTGTTGTTTCTTGTTCCTTGTGATTGCGTCAACGAAACAAATGGTAAACTAACATGATTTGAAGAAGTATGACTGTGTGGTTGATCACTGGGTAGATCAACTTTGGTAGAACAAGCTACAGAATCATTCGGACTAGATGACTGAACATGACGAGGAAATGGTGGTGGTTTTGCAGACACAAGAATAATACGATCCAGTTCATCGATCATCTCGCAATCTCGAGCTACTGACAATGCAGTCAACATATTATCACCTAAATAAGAAGGTTGGATGATGAGTAACAACGCATATTGTCAATTCATATTACCAACAAACGTAAATTGCAATTGACAAGAATTATTAATTTATGGAATTTCATTGAGTCACAAAAATTGAAAGAAAATCATGTAAACTATTTCAATTTAATATTCATTACAATCCTCCACCATACTGATATTATGGTTAACTGGAATTCTTGGAATAAGACAATGAAAAAAGCACCACATTAGAGAGACACTGTTCACTAAATATGAGCTTAGACAGATAACAAACTCAAACATGTAGCTTATTAGTTTGACCGTGACAGGCTAATTCGATATGCAAAGGTTAAAATTCAGATACAAAATAATAATAATAATAATAATAATAATAATAATAATAATAATAATATACTTTGGAGGTCAACAGTACATTTATACAGATTTAGAATATTCCAAGTTCAGGTTCAACGTCTATCTATGTAGACTGATGTTAATAACTGTTAGAGAAAATAATCTAAAAAATCGCTTTCAAGAGAAATCATATTGAAAACAATCACACCAATGAGAAAGAAACATACCAGTTAGCATTACAGGTCGAATATTGGCATATCTTAAAGTTTCAATCACTTGAGTTGTTTCCGGTTTCAAACGGTTCTCCATGATCAGTAGACCAAGAAATCGTAAATTCTGTTCAACGCGCTCCCTAGATACGTGTAAAACTTTTGTATAGGTTGCTTTCAATGGTTTCCAAGCTAACGCTAAAACTCGATAACCTTCACGTGTGTATTCCAACAGAGTAGAATGGAAATCTCTAGGTACTAAAGAACAGAAGAAAACAATAAGTGAAGTTCTCTAACAAACACAACTGATATACAACTTTATCAGGGAGTAATCTAAAGGCAACATCAGTTGAACACATTGACATTTATTTGAATAAAACACTGTGTTTTAATATAAGGATTAACAAAGAATTGAAGTTACCAATAAACGCCTGTGTAAATCAGATATTTGTTCGATGAAGAGAGAAAACTTTGAATGTTTGGGTTCTAGTTAACATTTTATTCCAGTTCCAGTGTTTCGCTAATGACTGTACATTTACGAAAAATGACAATATAAAGGGATTTTTGTACTTATAGTAAAAGTAAAGTATAGAAACAACTGAATCACAATCGAGAATGCAACTGTCAGGCTTGTTTTAATCTGTTCCCTGTACTTTAATCACGGCTAAAACTTATAAACAACACACTAAGTGTAGAGAATATTGAAACTCTTCTAATAAAATAATCTAAGAAACAAAGAAAATCAACAACACAGTAGCTATGCTAGTTAAAATAGTAATAGCAATAACAACAAAAGGACAAGGTCTAGAATAAACGCAAAAATATAGTAAAGAATCTTCAGAATTTCAAAAGATATTGACAACACTATATTGATAAAAACATATAATAAACTTTTCTATAGAATAAAAGAATTCCGGACTCAAATAGGTTTAATTAAGAAAAGAAAAATATTTTAATCAGGCAAAACGGAGGTCATTGGAGAGAAATAAACAGTTATTTTAGTACAAGATAATGTGGTAAACAGAACTATGTACCTATATTTTTTCTTGGAAAGAAAACTCTGAAGTATGCAGTTATTTCAAATACCATTTACCAAAATTAAATTAAAATTTTAAATTCATTCAAATCAATAACCGCTGAAGCCTAAAGAAAATAGCACTAAGCCAGAGTACATTCAGTCCAGAACGAAGCAATGTGTATGCTTCATTCGAACAGAAACGAAGTCCTATCTCATTATTCCATGCAGGGATTTTCAGGCTCATAGGCCTGCTTTGAACACTCAAAGTAGAGATACCGTCCGCTCTCGACACCCGTTTAAAAGCATCCGGAAGCATACCGACAAGTCACTACACCGAGCAAAACACCGGTCCTGATCATACCTAAAACAGTGAACAAGAGATGGCATGCGACCGCACGACCTAGATCCAACTACGAGCATTTTAACTAAGCAAATCTAATATACTATTTTGGACCTGGAGTTACCGCGGCTGCTGGCACCAGATCAATATACAAGCAAAACTAAACAAATAAATCAATCATTCGATTGAGCAAGAAAACGATCCTAATTGCTGGAGGAAATTGTAAGTCTGAACAGTGTGTCTGAGTGTCGTCTAACTCAGTTTAGCGACTACACTAAATAGTGAGAGTTGCGAACAACCAACCGACAAATGTGTATACATTGATCTTGTACGACGTCAATCAGAATGTGAATATTTCATATGCAAAATGTATGACTATGCTTGTGCAGAACTAGAATTTCTGACTGAAAGAAACACTGCTGAACAAACAAATATTCCACTTAGAAATAGAAATTCGATTCAGTTCAGTAATGGTTTCAAAATGTATAACACAAATATTTTGCTACAGCATTGGCCTGTGTCGATTTTCAATTTGATCACAGACAGTCAAGTCGTAGATTGTGTCCCGATGATTTCATTTATCGAAGGATGTCATCTATCTTTGTGGGTTGGTGTCTAATGAAGTTTGAGAACGAAATCAAAAAGGTCAGTTGGCTTTTATCACCAAGTGTCACCTGTGGCGTGAGTGATAGCTCAGTCTTCCACAAGAAAAGAGTATAGTGAACACTGGTTTGTTTCGCACCATTTAATGGCTATGAAACGTGGCTACTCAAAGAGGATGTCTACAGGTTACCAGTATTTGATTATAGATGTCTTCGAATATTGAATTTTTTATTTTACGACAACCGAGTGAAGGATGCTATAGTTACGTACTCGGTAACCGACCAAGATAGTTGTAACATGTCTTAAGCTGCCCAGCAACCCCCTACTTCGATGTAAGATGTTGGATAGTATAACCAGCGGCTGTCAAACTGAGACGTACGTTCAGTCCACGAAGTCATTGACTGTTGGTCTCAGACACGTTGGTAGGTGCATACAACCTGGTCGGCACAATCAGTGGTCAAAGATGCTAGATGGGATAACTTCGAATCGCTTACAAAGGTCAACATACACCTTTACATTTTCAGTTTTAAAACGATTAAATACATTTTGTCACACGAATTCAAGAAACTTTCTTGAACAAGATTGTACACGCCAAATCATCTTACTGTACATAATGTTAATACCACTTTGGTATACATATTTATCATTTCGTCTCAGAGTGTTAAAAAAATGGTGTCGGAAATTGTGTTGATATATGTTTGTCTTAGGTTTAACGTTGAATATGACTGACCAGTTGGATTAACATTTAAAAAAATAATGCTTGACAATCTTCACATTTTACTTACTAGTATCACATCTGCACAATAATTCAATAGTTTCAGGTGCACCTTTAGTATAGATATTGAAATGATTTTGATTGAGAGCACGAGTAATCACAGACATACGTTGTAATGAAGAACTGAATGGAAATTGACGTAAAATACCCACTTCATATGGAATATCCTACAAGTGTGTGAAATCAGGATTTTCAATTTCAATAAAAAGCATTTTTATAGAACAGAGAAAAGAAGGAAGTCGTAATTTACTCAGCTGACATGCAACCTCAAACTCTAAAAATATTATAATCTATTGTAATAAGCTAATAATCCATCTATGCTTTCCGAACACTATAAATATTGTTTACCAAAATCACCTGCGTTGTATTCAGATATTCACTGTGTTTTAGCATTACTTTAGGTGATTTCATACCGTAAGTCTATAAGGGCAAGTAGTGACCATGATACCCAATTCCAATAAGTTTTAGGATGCCGAAACATAACAACAGTACTTGAAAATAAGTTCGATCACTAAAGAGCTAAACCATGAAACCGTATAAACGACCATTTTGTGAATACCTAGGCAAACTATGTCAAACCAGATACCTTCAGTCAGTCAGTCAGTAACAACGTAGAACTTCGTACGTACGTACATCAGTTCGAGTTGCCACACCACATTAGCACAGAGATGGACTTGTCGATTCAAATCCCGTAGTGATAGAGGTAATAAGAGTATAAGCAGTAATCGGGAAGATTAGGGTTTGGAGATGTTATTTAAAGAGTATAATCCAGTGAAACAAATTTGGAAAGAGGAAAAAAGGGACATGAAGAATTCAGAAGATTAGAATTTGGGAGAACACAGAGAGTGGATGCACCTGCGCCATTGCAAACGATTTTGAGCCATGTCATTCAGGGTCTCTAACCATCGGTTGCTATCATCTCGCGGTCCCCAACCATGTAGTCTACACCTACCAACATGACTCAGTTCACTTGTCAGTGACTTCATGGACTTGTGCCATGTTTTGGTTTGGCCGCCCCTAGCTTTCTTCCAACCTACTCCTATACCACTGAACATAGCACGTCGAGGTAGTCGGTCGTTGGGCATACGTAACACGTGTCCCAGCCATCTCAACTGATGAAGTTTCACTACTTCATCAATTGATTTGTCATCCTTACCTAGTACCCGTTTCCTAACAACTGTGTTACTTACTCGATGGTCCCATGATATACGAGCAATGTTTCGAAGACACCTATGATCAAATACTAGTAACCTACGGATATCCTCTACTCTTACCGGCCATGTTTCACTGCCATAAAGTAGGACGGAACGAACTGCTGCGCAGTAAACACGTCCTTTGGTTGATAGACGGATATCTCGCCTACGCCATAAATGACGCAAGTTGGCAAAAGCTAGTCGAGCCTTCTGTATTCGTGCTGAGATTTCGTCACACACTAAACCACAAGGGCTGATGAGACTTCCAAGATAAGTGAAGCGGTCGACACACTCAACTACTTCACTCCCTATCACTAGTTCGGGTGTCGATGTAACCCAATCCTGAAGCAACATTTTGCATTTCGAGGGGGAGAATCGCATGCCGAACATGATTGCATTGTTGCTTAGAGTGGTCAGAAGACTCTGCATTTTGTCAGCGTCTTCACCAAATAGAACTATGTCATCGGCATATTCCAAGTCAACAAGTGAACCTCCCGGTTCAAGTTCAACCCCTGTAAATTTAGATGAGGAGAGTGTTATCTCTAAAAGTACGTCGACCACAAAGTTGAACAAGAATGGGGAGAGTGGACAGCCCTGACGAACACCACTTGAGGTGATCAATTCTGATGACAGTTCGCCATAAGCTCTCACTCTACCAGTTGTGTTCGAGTAGAGATACCTTAGTAGCAACAATTGACCTTCACTTAGAGCTTAGCATAGTTAAATAAAACATGATTGGAAATCTTTCTTAATAGAGGTGAAGGCTTCCACAATGCTACAGAAGTCAAGCCCCATATTGGTCTTTTACTTACAACTACACTGATTCAATCGATGGGAATCAACATTCAGCTTAAATTATAGTGAATGATGCCACCAACATTAAATGTCTCCATAGATGTGTTTTTCAAGTACATCTCTATAAATTAGATTATCCAAAAAATTTGTAGACCACTATAGTGCCACATGTATGTCTACTGATATAGGAACGTCAATGTAGGTGGCTTTTTAAGACAATCAGTTAAATGAACGACAGCGAAAAATAGTTATCGTCAACATCCCTCCTCAAAAAATGTAACATAATTGAGCACCGTTACTAATCTATAAGTTATATCATACGAATTGCGATTTACAGGTTTTCTCTGCTGAAATCCTTAGTTTGTACATATCCCCAACAGACTTTCATGGAGTTTTATTAATCCAGTTTATTCTGATGATATTTCTAACACACTAAGCTGTCTTGTTTCGCAGTAACATTCAAAGTGTACATAAACAACGATCCTAGGAATTCATTATTATCTCGTTGCGAAAAAAGTATTCCACATTCAAACCTTCTTTATTTTCATGGTTTGGGACTTAACTGCAAAAAGAATATTCATGGTTAATTTTCCTAGCACGAGTACAATTTTGGTTTAGTCTGACTTTGCGCAATTTCAAAAACTTACTACAGGGTGATGGCGTATCGCGAAACTGAATAACTGATGTAAGCCGACAGTTAACTGATAATAAACGACAAGACAGTTCAGTAGAACAGGACAACAAGGACCAGAGCAGTTGCTATATCCAGAACAGAAATCAACACTACTCCACATTTTATCATCAGAACATATGTCGACTCTCTCTCTTAGGTTGGAATAGTCGGCATTTTATATCAAGTGTACAAGAAACGGCAGTGTAAATACACCAACCTAACTACATAACATAACTTACATCACCATTGAACTTTTCAGAAGTCTTTTCCGTCAAACTGGTTTTACTAGATGGACGTACGATAGCAGGGACAGCCATTTCAAATTTACAGTGGTCAGCAGCTTCTTCAATGAGTTCCTGACAAAAACAACACAAAACGAAAACGCGATCTATAAGCAATTTGTTTACGTCAATAAACATGTTGAAGACCTATAAACATACATCCTTTAAACAAGCTTTTGTGATATTTTAGAAAATACGCCTCAATGTATCTAAATTTGTATTTTATCGAAATATATTTGATAACTAGCGGAAATAAAATCCGGAAATCCAGTCTCATACAGTTTGAGAATCATTCTGTTGTATGCGAATCTACCACAAGACTTAACAAGTGAAAGTTGTGGAATCTCCCTGCTTCAAGAATTTTCCAGTCAAACTGATTTTGAATGACATCCTGGTTTTCAATAAGTAGTAAACACACAAAAGATAGCTGAAACCATCGGTGGGGTCACAGTCAACTACGTTCAAAGTCGATCATTTTCCAAACCCTCATTCTGTCGGCGGGCACACACAATCAGAACCTTCATGCCTGTACCAAAAATATCTAGTAGGTTAATTCACATGTTATGATGTGCGAATCTTACAACAACCTCAAAGTAACTACGACATTTAGGTTTCAGAGAAGGAAAAATTGTGAGTAGAAAAAAACTAGAACCATCTACAATCCTTACCCATTTAGTTGACTGGAACATCTTTAAGTCCAGAGGATCTCCACACAGAACTCCTTCAATCAATGTCAATGAGTGACAAGTCGCTAAACATTCCATTAGAGGACCATTATCCAACTCTGATGGTTCTAATTCCGGATCTCCAAATAAACCATCTTCATAAGGAATGATACCCCACATATCCAAACCATCTTCCGTTAAAGTGCCCGTCTATTAAAAAATCATGAAAAAACGGAAAAGATGTATAGTTCATTTAGATCTCAAAGCTTATTTCTGAATAACTTAATACTTGATACTGACTTTCTAACCACTACCCACTCCACAAGATTTTCTTACACTTGAACACCATACACAAAACAACAGTCGGAAAGTATCAAAAGAACCTCTAGTTTCAAGGTTGGTCCAGGTACAGAAAATTGATGTATCTTCAGGTTTATGGATGACCTTGATGTTCTCAAAACATGTTTAGCTTAGTGTGGTGACATAATCAGTAATTATTTAGGCAGGATAAAACACATCACAAATCGTGTTCTGGAAACCTCGCGAATGTTTCAATTGAACGTCGGAAGGACAAAGTGTGTTGAGAGTTTTACCAGCTTCTAAGGGAGTTTCCGAGGAACTACTGAGGTTCTCCAATAAACACAATCGAGAAAAATCACATTAGCTTGTAACATCTAAAGGAATAACACGGTATCCAACATGGAACAGACATAAGTAGAAAATCAATCATTATTCTGATCCAATCCGAAATTCCAAAGGTAAACACAATCATTATTAGTAAGCAACATGAAAACAACTTACAAAACACTAGTGATAATATGCAAAATGAGTAGATGAATTGTTTTCACGAAACACTAAGCCACAAAAAATATCCAAGATATTTATAATTACTTAATCCCCAAGACCTATGGTAACTGAATTAATAACAAATTACTTGACTTTGTTTACTATCGGCAGTAACGGATATAAATTTGTCGACACACTTTGATTGTTAAAATCATGATATGAAATTATTCAATTTCGTTGATTTTTAACTGTCCATGACAGTGAATTCACCATAATTTTACATTCACTCAAAGATATCATACGAGAAACAATCAGAAGGTCTGAGTAATGAACTAAGCGAATGGAACTTGTTTTAATTTACACGTCATCCGCTCATCTATAAACAAAAGTGTGGAAGAAAATGAATACTGTTGGAATTAATACACAGTTTGTATTATTGGCCACCCAATAATTTGAATATTCAATACACTGGAAACTTAGAAAATTGGTAGATTTTCAGTCCATTATGAAGCACACAGAAGTAACTATTCAACTATTTTATTTATACGATGTACAACTCATCAAATAATTCACCTTGCGAACTTGGTATAAGTTTGCATTGTTTTCAAATATATACACAGCGCAAAAAACGAAGTATCAAAATATTTCCCAGAAAAAATATATATTTCAAAAGCACTGCAACAGTATGAGATGGGTTTTAGTGAAATCATGGAGGCTATTTTAAGCCGAGTGGATAACAACCACATTTGTTGTAGTCTATACACTTTAATACAGGTAAAAGTGCTAGTTGGCGAAATCGTGGAATAAAGTAATATTACCATTTGGACTTAGACCTATTTAAGGTTCGTTCAGTCCTACTCAAATGAACTCCATCCCGTTTTCTTTCTAAGCAAATTGGGAAGTAAACCGCTCAAAGAAGTTATTGAAACTATATCGAAAGAGTTACATTCGATCGGTAACATGCTCAGCGAAAGAAACTACCGAAAAAGAAAATACATTCTTTAATTCAAGGATATTTTTAATAACTACACCTACTTCTTCTTCTTTTTATAACGTCAGGTAACTCTTGATTTTGAAAACAATGAAATTACAAGTTCACTCAGTCAAACTACTAGTAATATATAGAAAAATCTTTTAGAAAAACATTAGACTTCAGAGTAAACTAGTTCTATGACAACTAAAAAATACTAATAGACTGTGCTATGCCACACAAGGTTTCAACCTGTAACAATAGTTTGAAATCCTAGCTGAACAACTTGTTTACAGTATATGAACAGTATTGGTGTTTACAAGGAGTACAGTTACGACACAATCATATTGATAGTAAACTGTGATTTAATGACTTATACCTTTTACATCACTCCCCCTTATCTCCGACCCATAAAACCAAATAACATCATCTGCCATCAGTAACATCCGTAATCAGTAGTCTACCAGAAAAGTCTGAATTTCGTTATTTGGAGAATATTTATTTAGCTGACGACATTAAGATAACTACATCAAATAGTCAACCATAAGCAATGTAGCACATCAAGCACAAATATGAATCGACCCAACTTTACACACCACAACGACACAGAAAGATTAAATTATCAAGGTGAATACCGAAGTGGTAGTAACATCAGTGGTAGTAAAAAATATTAGGTATACACAATACGATTCGAAAATAATTGGGGAATTCGTACAATAAAAGTGAAATAACAAAACTCCCAAGCTTGGTAGGAAATAATATCTTATTTATGTGTAGTACTAATACTTTCTAACCGATGAGACAGATTTAGCTTAACTGGTCATTAATTCAAGACCCCGGAGATAAATATAGCAAGGACATCATATGTCGTGGTTTCCAACCTATTTATTTATTTAAACATATAAACATTGGTACAAGGAGGCACCAAACAGATATGCGCCACAAATCATCATTTGATTTGCGTGTGAGGGCCGGGATACAGTCAGGGTGCAGGTGGTTTTCTTAAGGGGGCACATCCCAAGTCTTTGACCTAAAGGTCTAATCCACAAGGTAGTGGAGCAACGTCAGGAGATGCAGTCCCATGGTAGCCGGTGGCCAACCATCGGCTCATACGCCATTCGTTCTATCAGGATACTTTAGCCCATGTGCACCATTGGTTTGGGATCAGGGTTTTCTAAGTCCTCTAGATAGTCTCTCAGTGTCCACCAACCAAGTTAAGGCTCCGGACATTTGCTTTTCATCCTCTCAATTTCGTAAACAGCACCCGCGCCGCGAGAAGGCAGTGAGTAGGACTTCCCTGGTGGTGGTTGTATGCACATGGCCACTCGGGAGCATTTCGAGAGGGAGTGGTGACTCTCTTCACTCTCGGCCTCACCAGGGCATTTGGAGGCATTCCAATCCAACAAATCCTTTATCGTAAGGGGATTCACAAACTTAAATGGATTCATTCTTAAAGGTACACACAAACGGTCAAAACAGTCACTCATATTAAACTCTAGAAAGGCAGGTCAGAAATAATAATAAGCTGAAAGCAGCGAGAAAATTCTTACTTTATCAAAACAAGCTACATTGATTACTCCACAAACATTGATCACGGATGGATTGACACAAAATATTCCATGCGATAGTAAGCGTCGTTGAGCCAGAACAACTCCTACTGTCATCACAACAGGTAAGGCTGGTGGTATCACCACAGTAACTAAATCTAACGCTCGACGGATAATGTCATCAACACCAACATTAGCTCTGATCTAAAACAGCAATTTCAATCATTTGAATAAAAAACAGAACAAACTAATTATGTCCAGTTAGAGCATACGAAATATTATCCGTTAAAAAACTTCACTCGATGCTGCGTGTTAAAGTTCGATTTCCAAATCATGTGTCTAATAGTACGACAGACATCATTATTTATACTTATGATGCTCTTCAGATAATTAGTGAATATGCATGAAGACAAGTGGAAAAGTTTGACTTTAGTGTAGAAGGCACGTGTACGTAACCAGTAGTTGATTGTAGGTGTCTTTGAGGTATTGTTTGTATATGGTAGAACGTTAACTGGAAAACGCTTACGTTAAACGTAGAGGAATTGGTAGAGCTAGTAAAATGGTTTAGGCTGTGAATTTTCACAAGAGTTATTTATTTAGGAGACGGTTTACGTGTTCCCAGCAATTGCCTACCTCGCTGTACATTACTGACTGTAAAGCGGTGGTTTCGAACAAGGCTTAGGGTCACCCAAAGAAAATACGACATTGATCTGGGTCGTCTCAGGAGTTTTAGTCTTCTAGTTATGGATCCATGCGAAAATAGTAATCTCTAGTTGAAGAGCAATTGGTTAAAATTCTCAATTGAATATACATTCTTTCTCTATCTTGGTAGGGATACCTCAAGTTACTTGGTTTTATCAGTAAATGTCGAATTCTTTCATGTTACGGTAACCGCATTGCTGTTCTTTGACTAATCACCACCACTCTAAGTTTACTTATTTTCCTGTCTGAAGGCCATGTCTTGTTGTTATATTCATCACAGTTCCAATCTAGATTTGAATTCGTTAAATACCAGGCATTTTTTCCACTTGTGTGTTTTTTCTTTAGCATTCCTGTTTTTCGTTTCCCTTCAGGATTCCAAGTTAGTGCTTGCCTCGTGATGCACTTTGATAGTTTCTTCAATATGTGTCCTATCCACTCCCAGAGTCTTTTCCTAATTTCCTCCTCAAATGGAAGTTGGTTTGTTTTCTGATACAGTAGGCTGTTGCCGATGGTATCCGGTCAACGGACATTGAGTATCCTATGTGGACAATTGTTTATAAATACTTGTATATTTTTTATTATGGTTGTGGCAGTTCTGCACGTTTCAGCTCCATACAATACAACTGTCTTAATGTTCGTATTTAAGATTCTGGCTTTGATATTGGTTGGCAGTTGCTTTGAGTTCCAGATGTTTTTCAGCTCTAGAAATGCTATTGGTTCATACGCCATTTGTTGCTTCAGGAAACTGGAGCCCATGTGTACCATTGGTTTGGAATCAGGGTTTTCCAACTCCCTTAGGTGGACTCTCTATGTCCAACAACCCGGTTAAAGCGCCGGACATTTGCTTTTCGTCCTCTCAATTTCGTAAACAACACCCCCGCCACGAGAAGGCAGTGAGTAGGACTTCCCTGGCAGAGGCTACATACGCGTGGCCATGTTAGAGCATTTCGAGAGGGAGAGCGGACTCTCCCTACTCTCGGCCGTACCAGGGCATTTGAGGGCACACCTGAACCATATCACCTAGTCTCCCAATATTTGTGACAACAATCACGTGAACCCTGAGATCTAGTCAGACACCAGACCATCAAGGCTGATGAGAATTTCAAGAAAAATAAACTGCTCAATGCATTAAAATGCTCCACTCCTTACAATCAGTTGAAGCGTTGACACGAGAAAGTTATGAGTCAGTATTTCGTATTTAAATAAAGGGAATCGTACCCGTAACATGTTTGAATTGTTGCTCAAGGAGGTCACAAGACTCTGAATTTTGTCACCATATTCACCAACCAGGACTTTGTAATCTTAATATGTAAATCAATAAAACTAGAGACTTTATTATAATAGGTTATCCACGTTCTCCAAAGGATAGTGTCGTAGAAGCGATTCAATTACATGGCTACCATAGTCAATACACGATAGGTTAAACTATACACAATCCAATAGAAAATATATTTAAATCAGAAATTAAATCCCCAACTGAGCAAATTGTATTGTAAAGGTGGACGAGATAAAGAATGAATGATGGAAAAGCATCAGTAACCAAATGACAGGTGAAAACAACCACACATTCTGCACAAAAACATCCCTTCTTACCATTAAGTAGATTGAAACTCCCAAACCAACCACAGCAAGAATAGACAAAGCAAAAATAAACCGGAAGGAATCTTGGGTGAATTTGAATTTTAGAGGTTTCGGAAACAGAATTGACCGTACAAGCTCACCCTTGACAGTGTAAAAGCCAGTGCGTGCAACAACAGCCAGAACTCGCTCATCTGCATAATTTCTTGTTTGAATAACAGTAGTACCAGCAAATAAAATATGCCGACCATGAACTTTGATATCGAATAACGTACCCTTTGATGGTGAATCGGGTAAGGGAATTTTGGTAACTGGAACACTTTCACCTTAAATAGAAAACAATATTATTTGGAAATACACCGGGGTTAGTATGGTCTTAAATACAAAGTCCAAAGTGAAAATCAATATGATCCAGTGAATTTCGAGTAATTAGAACAGCAAAGTATTCATAACAACTGATATAGTCGGTTTTTCAAATTAGCACTTCGTGTCAAGTCTCTGAACATGAAACATTATTTGTGTAGACAACACAAAAAACAAGAAAACAGTCTGTGAACAAGCACAGTATCTTACTTCATTGTGTCTCACTGTACTAAACTGTTTAAATGTTATTCACCACATTACTGTAAGATAAAATAATGGTGGCTACTTCCATACAAAGTTATTGATGAACATCTCCAAAGTTTCACACCAACCACACACAGAGCAAAAACGATCTCGCCGTCATGCAAAAAACCACACTCATCTTTCCATGTTCATGCATAGATTACACTGCTTATTTTGTCACATAGTAGTTCATGTAAAACAAAAACATAGTCAGTGGTCAGTGAGACCTATTTCCTCTCGAACGACTTTAATGACGATGTATCCTAGTTCTGTAACAATATTTCCCAGTCCACAAAAATAAAGAAACACTATACAGATTATACATTTTGACGTTGGTACTCTACATAATTCATATCGTATCATTATCAACATTTGTAGTGTGACGACCCATAAACAGAGAGTGTTTTAAGGGATCGATAGGGAACCAACGAACAAGCGGTTACTGCACTCGGTTCGTAATCATAAGGTCACAGGTCTAAATCACATTTCAGTGTGGCCAGTCCCGAAAAACCAATACACCTCACAAAAACACCAAAATTTAAAGTCAAGTAGTATGTGAATCTGTACTTTCTAAATAAGGAACACTATTATCATTATGATCATCATAATTATTATTATGGAGTGCTTGAGGAGAATTATGTAGAACCAAAATATATGAAATAAACGATTAAAAGGGATAAAAGCACATAATTTTTTACAGCAATCTTCATATGTATTTGTGTATTCACATAAAATTTATCGGAGGACTCAAAAGACTGAGTTAAGAATATGGTTGACATTACTTTACATATTAATGAATCCATATCTACAGTAACATTATACTAATGTGACTTACCGGTCAATGTACTTTCATTTACTATGCAGTTTCCTGCTAGTAAGATGGCATCACATTGAACCAGACACCCGTTTTGTGGAATTTCAATTATATCACCGGGAACTAATGAAATGGAATCCACTTCTTTGAATTCTGTGAAAATAATTATTTATAAGACATTCCTTCTCAAATATTAATAAACAAATGGATTATTGTCTGAATATCTACTGTAAAGGAAATTAAAATAACCAGTTTGGTGGATTGAAAGAACGGTTGGACCAAACCATACAATCACTAAGCAGAAATGGATGGTGGCTAGCAGTGGAATCCAGAAAGCGGCTATGTGGACTCAGTAGCTAGGTGGATAACGCGATGGCGTTTGAAGCGAACAGCACTGGGTTCGAGTCCCGGAGTGAACGTAGTCTCTGGGAAACAATTACGTACAACTCACAGGTCCCAAATAGGGCGAAACGCACGCACAGGATTCCACCGCTAGCCACCATCCATCTCTACTTCTGATGCTTATGATGTAAGTCAATATCGAGGCAATCAGCACGGGTCGCACAATTACAGTCCGAAATATCAATGGGGATTCAAATAACCGATACAAAAATAAATCATGCTTTTTTTCAAATAGATCTCATTGATAGTGTTAATAATTCAAATTTAGGAAGACTAACAGTTAAAATTCCCCATCAAATACCAGAATATGCGTATCGTGGACGGCCTATTATTTTTGCTAAAAAAGAAAACTGCTTGATAAACGAATTAGAAAAATTTCGAGGTCAGATTTTACGGAGGTTTATGTTGAGAGTTTGTCCACCGTTATCCCTAACTTGCTAACTCGCAAAAATACATCATTTATATCTTACAAGGAAAGTTACTACACAACTGGTCCGCTATGTTATAAACGTAGTTCAGTTTAACTAAATCATATTCATCAGTACAAACGAATACATTATTATGAAAATTGGTAGAATATGAAACGCATTTAAAAGTATGCAAAATATGCAAACACATATTATAGACACCTAATTTTTGCAGTGATAATTCCTTTTAAGTAATGGACGGAACTGTTAAACCCTGGACAACAGACGTGCTTTTTTACGATCAGTAAGTCACACTGATTAGCTAACTTAAAAACGTCACTAGATTTGTGATTGAGTATGGGAGATTGCCTTAACATGAAACAGGTAAAGAACCTAGTCAGTTTCATATCAATATCAGGTGATAAAGGTCTTGTAGTGTAACTCATTTATGCTATGACTTTACTTCGATCACAGAATGGGATACTATCACAATGTTCATCTAACGTAAATGCGCTTCAACTGAATATGTATTATCCCCACCTCCCAATATCTCTTGACTTAGCCCTCAAACTACGGAGAAATTAAAACAAAGTTGAAAGATTATTTCTTTCTCCAACCGACAAAAAAACATGAGAAAGTGAGTGGATGTCTATGCATCTAAAAATCATAGATAATCAACCATTTAGTTTGAAAATCTGAAGATACATAGTCGACCTAAAAATTATTAATGACGATAAATACCAAGTATACTTTTGGCTGATTTAGGTCGATTTTTTTGCGATACGATACATTTTCCAACGATCTATCAACTACAGGCTTTCATATTCGGTTTTAAGGTACATATTTTATGTAGGAGCAAAGATACCAGATGACCACTTGGACGAAAATACTCTGAGGGCGGTTCGCACCAATTCAGTCATTGAAAGTCGAATCCTCCAACCACTAGGCTACCGCACAATAACGTTAGCAATCAGAAATCATGAGTCGCAACAATCAAACGAACAGAATCTAAGTGTAGTGAACGACAACACCAGTGCGGAAAACCAAATGTATTTCAACACAAAATCACGGAATCTCTTAGTAAAATCTGACAACCATACGGTAAATACTTTATTTACAAAATGTCAATCAATTGTCTCAAACTTGATTGTTCCTTCTGCAAATGTTACTCAATCGTCTCAGACTTCACTGTTCTTTCGATTCCACACGAATCACCCTCCGTTTTCGTTCTCTTTCCTTCAATCTTCTTAACATTCTGCCTCCAGGTATTTCACTTTCGATTGATGACACATACTACTTATATCTGTCGACATCAGTAGCACACACCACACAAGTAGTCATTATACAAGTCATGAAAAGGATTACAGAAAAAATAAAATATGTGCATACCTTTAACCCCATCTTCCTCTCGATAAACGATTACAGAAGAGGATATACACATAGTTTCTTTAAGAGTCTTTTCGTTCTACAAAAAAAGCGTTTTGTTACAAATGGGGAAACGCAAGTATGCAAATACAGCATTATTAGCATTGATTCAAAACATTCAAATACAAAATTTTCACTGAGGAATTATACAACGTTCTATTAATTCACGATTCAATGGTGCCATGTGTGGATTTGTCACTCGATACTGACTAAGAAAATTCACTGGATCTAAGGAAACGAAGGAAGAAACTGTTATTCGATAGTTACTATAAACACATACGTCCTGTCCTATAAATGGTATTAGTTTAAATTCGAATATTTCAGTGTTTTACAGATTCACATGCAGTTTGACGATTTGCGTAGTGTATGTCCTATCCATTCCCATCGTCTTTTCCTAATTTCCTCTTCAGCTCGAAGCTGGGTTGTTCTTCCCCACAGAAGGCTGTCGCTGACGGTATTCGGCCAATGGATGTCGAGTATCTTGCATAGACAACTATTTACAAATACTTGTACCTTCTTGATGGTGGTTGTTGTAGTTCTCCAAGTTTCAGCTCCGTACAGTAGAACTGCCTTGACGTTCGCATTGACGATTCTGACTTTGGTATTGGTTGAAAGTTGTTTTCAGTTCTATATGTTCTTCAATTGAAGGAGTGCGGCCCTTGCTTTACCAATCCTCACCTTTACGAATGCATCTGATCCTCCTTGTTCATCGATGATGCTTCCCAGGTATGTGGATGATCCCACCATCAAGAGTGATTAAGTTGGTGTTCTCCGTGTTGTATTTGAGAACCTTGGTTTTTCCCTTGTGTATTTTGAGGCCTACTGATGCAGAGACTAATTAAAACAACTGCTTCGATTAAATCAAACTTACTTTTATTAGGCAGGTATAAAACTATAATAACAAACCTAACATAGATCGATGCCTAACTTTTTTGACTCACTCGACACTTACTGACTCTTAGATATCATTTCATGTGGATAGGTTATACTACTACTAGTCAGCTGTTCTTTCTTTTCGACTGCACGTTAATTGAAAATTTAAATGGAGATAACAAAGCAGCTGACTAGCTATCTCATTCGCACCGCTTGACATTATCAATCCACCATTATTTTACGTTCCTTTGACAATTAAATCATGCAAACAAACAGCCGAAACTTCCCAATAAGTAAGAAAAATCGAAGTGCTCAGCCCCAAACCACACTTATTAAATAATTTAATGATACTGCTTTTCTATCTAAACTACAGTAAATAAGATCGGTGAACAAGTAACGTCCTGATAATCAAAGCATTCTGTAAATCATTGGACCAGTACATCAAAACAAGACCATCACTTATTAAAAACCGTTAGAATAAGAAAGTAGTTACTTACTCTACGTAGTTCATAAACTTGCCATGATAGTGACATAATTGAAATAACAACAATACAAGTAGCGTACATCCAGTACTCATCAGAATACCACAAAATACAACTGAATATTTGGAAACAGTAGAATGGATTCAAGCACTACATAAAACAAAGTATAGAAAAACTAAATGTGATATACAAAGCATAACAACTACGTATCCAGTACCCATAACCAAATCAACCTTCAAATTGTACAAAACTATTCAATGCGTAATCTGACCAACATACCACATCAAGTAGTAGCCTGACAATTGAAGTAAGATTGATACTTATTTCATTCATTCCATACAACGCACGATTCATAAGGACTGTTTCGTTATTCAAAGGCTTAGAATCCAGAATTTCTTCATATGTAGTTTCATGCCAGCTCCTAAAATTCGAAAGAGACAAAATATTCTTTTCAAATTCCATTGCACCTAATAAACCCAATATAGCAGAAAATACTTTGAAAACTTCTACATTGTGTTTATATATTAGAATATCCCTACTAGCTTCTTTCTATGCCAGTACCTATGAAGAGTTAACAGAGGTAAGTCGAATTTAAAGGTTAAATTTCCAGGGACTAAATTTCGTCCTTATGCACAATTGTAACTGTTCAAAACGAAGTGTAAGGAGTTGTCAACAACTGCCATAATGTTCAACACGTGACAGAAAATTCTATGATAAAATGAGTAAGTGGGCTAATACTAGCCAGTGAAGTATCTTCTGAAATGAAACCACAAGGAGTACTTGGTTAAGACCCAATCAATGACGATATTTTCCAAAAGCTCATGTAGGAAGTAAACAATTCACTAAGAAATGTTCACTATTTAAAATTGAAAAACTGGAAGGTAAATAAACTAAAAAAACATAGGAACTACCTTACATGTGCATCGATTTAGGATGCCACAATTCACATTTACTTAAGGTTTTGTTAACCGGATAGTATCATTAGTCCTCCCATCTAGAATGTGCCCCATATCCAAATACCTAGTGAATGAGTCAGTTTGTATTATTTTATTTAAGAGATCTACATGAAGATGCTTCTGTTTACAGTCGGGCCTACGGAAATTTCCAAGTACGAACGATAGACTATTCTAGTATGAACGGGAACTAATGAGAACTTGACAGTACGACCTATAACGCCTCGACAATTACCCTCAAACGAGGAAACCTAGAAAGAACACGTGAGTGGAGAAAATGCCTGGTATTTAACGAATTCATATTTAAGTTGGAACTGTGTGATTGTCATGGCCCGAATCCGCCAATCAGAAGCAGCGAATTATCGGTCGGACCAAGGACGCGGAAAACACGTGCGAGCAGCCTAGAGTCCTGATTGGTCCTGCTTTCCGCCTAGCCCAGCCAGTTAAGTCCAGAACACCAGTGTCAGCTTCTGCTATATGAATCATTATATTTCAAACATACTGAGTTCATATACCAATCAAACAGGCTGTGAATGTGTGAGGCAGTGACTAATAGATAGGGCATAATTCAAGAGTGCTAAAACGTATAATAATGGTTCATAGGTCAAAATAAAGCTTATAATAAGAGGAACATGAATACCAATAGTTTATTTAACGTTTAGTATTGGTCCATAAAACGATTCCAAAATTACCATTCATTATGTTTATCGGGACCTAACAGTGATGAATATAACAACAAGACATGGCCTTCAGACAGGAAAATAAGTAAACTTAGAGTGGTGGTGATTAGTCAAAGAACAGCAATGCGGTTACCGTAACATGAAAGAATTCGACATTTACTGATAAAACCAAGTGACTTGAGGTATCCCTACCAAGATAGAGAAAGAATGTATATTCAATTGAGAATTTTAACCAATTGCTCTTCAACTAGAGATTACTATTTTCGCATGGATCCATAACTAGAAGACTAAAACTCCTGAGACGACCCAGATCAATGTCGTATTTTCTTTGGGTGACCCTAAGCCTTGTTCGAAACCACCGCTTTACAGTCAGTAATGTACAGCCAGGTAGGCAATTGCTGGGAACACGTAAACCGTCTCCTAAATAAATAACTCTTGTGAAAATTCACAGCCTAAACCATTTTACTAGCTCTACCAATTCCTCTACGTTTAACGTAAGCGTTTTCCAGTTAACGTTCTACCATATACAAACAATACCTCAAAGACACCTACAATCAACTACTGGTTACGTACACGTGCCTTCTACACTAAAGTCAAACTTTTCCACTTGTCTTCATGCATATTCACTAATTATCTGAAGAGCATCATAAGTATAAATAATGATGTCTGTCGTACTATTAGACACATGATTTGGAAATCGAATTTTAAAACGTAGTTTGGAGTGAAGCTTTAAAAGGAATAACGCTTTGTAAGCTTGAATCATTATTGATATGGGAGAAAATTAAGCCGAATATGAAGGATTGACAGTATGAAGAAAACAGAATCTGAAAAAGGATGTGGGTTGGCAGTAATTAAGATGAATTTGAGTGCGTGATTCATAATACCCAGTCACTCATGTTGTGGAAGGATACGTAATCACCAGTCTGTACCTATTAACATCGTTAAGTCCACTGACATTTGAACCAGTAAAACATCATTTACAAAACAAGTTGTTCCTAGTGAGAAAAATGTTATACTGATAAAGATCTCTTGATATGCACTGGAAGTGATCAGACAGAGAATTCAAAACACGGTAACTATTCAGACAAGTGTTAACAAGAATCTAAAATAGCGAAACAATAATTATATTTATCGTTTTTCAACTAGAAGGCTCCCAATCCATATTCTGTTTGAATGAGAATGCCCTCAAATGCCTTAATACGACCGATGGTGGAGAAAGTCCGCTCTCCTCGAAACGCTCTCACATGGCTACGTGCTAACAACCACTGCCGGAGGAGTCCTATTCACTGCCTCCTCGTGGTGGGGTTGTCATTTATGTAATCGAAAAGGTGAAAAGCGAATGTCCTGCGCTATAGCCTGGTTGTAGACACGGAGGGTCAACCTAGGGGAATTGGAATACCCTGATTTCAAACCAATCGTTGACATGGGCTCCAGGATCATGAAGAAACAAGTAGCGCATGAATCAATTGTTGATCACTGATACCCATTTAAGTGCATTTTCTTACGTTGCTCCACTATCTTGTGGGTCGAACATTTAGGTCGAAAACTTCGGGTGTGGCCTCCCTAAGAAAACCACCTGCTTCGGTCTGGGCACCTTGGCAGTATCACAGCCCACTCGAAAATCAAGAGACTTGTGTGGCCCATATGCATTTGGTGGCCCTTCGTACCAATATTTATGCGTTTAAATAAAACAATAACAATAAGGATAAGTGCATAATGTATACTCAACAATACCTCTACTTAGTATTATATGACGTATACACACCTTATTGATAGTCTCATAACTGTAAAGAACCAGAGAAATTACAAAATTAGAATTTAGAAGGAGTCGAAATAACTAAACATCTTATCATAAAAATAAATAAACAGTACTGACCGACAACCAAAATTTATTATCATAAATAAACATTAAAAGATGGGCGTAAATCTCACCTTGGAAGCTCAAAGCGATTAGTCTTGCTGTCCCAAACATACTTTACACATTTATGAACAAAGTAACACATCATCTTGCCCTCCTAAATAATAGAAATATTACAAATATTTACTAACTTTCTCAGAACATGACATTTGCGACAGCATGAACGAGGCAGTTTTTCGAACGTACAAGGGTTTAGCACAACTGCTAAAATGTATGAGAAAGGCTATGTTATCCTTACTTTGCTGTTCCAATTATTTCAACAACCACGTCATGTATGTAGCGAACACCGTGGACATCCTGCAAGAGAAATTTAATACGTAGTTTGTATTTTGTCCTAGGCTCATGAAGCCTAAAAAACGGGGACAAACCATTACTTTGACAAGTATCTTCTCGGCTTTTATTAAAGCACATTCCTTATTCATGCACATCAGCATCCAATGAGGGAACCAGTGAAAGACAAGTCTCAGCAGTCCACAGGTGAAAATGATGCCGATGTACATAAAGATGGTTCGTATATATGATATCGAATAACCTGTAACATCCTTGATTTGTAAACACAAAGAAATAAAGAAACATACCACCACATTATCGTCAAGTTCACTAATTTTTTGACGTTGATCTTCCGGAGTCCAATCTTCGGTGTTTTCGATCAGTGCAGGCATTTGAAAGTCGATTTATACGTCTTCTTACTGGCCTGAGACTAAGGAACCACAAAACTAAAGGAGAAACAAGTGCGATGGAGCCGCAAGAAACGACTCATGTGATAATCACACCGTTACGCCCCAATACAAATTCTTATCATCAAAAGTGTCCAATGTACTCCAATATAATCCAAACCCAAGAAATCATAAATTTTCATGAAAACAACTGTTTTGTTATCCAGCACATGTCCAAGTGAAATTCCTAAACGTATATGTATTTACATATGATATTTACATATGGATATGGTTCATCCTGCCATACTGAGGGAGGCAGCCTCAATCCTGGCAACGCCGCTTAGCGTGATGTTTTCACACTCGCTTAGCCGAGGCAAACTACCGGAAAATTGGAAGTTGGCTCACATCACACCAATTTTCAAAGGTGGTCGACGCAATGAACCTTCAAGTTACCGGCCGGTAGCTCTTCTGTCGTTACCTTCAAAACTCATGGAGTCCCTGATATGCGACGGTTTAAATGACTACCTACTGTCCTTAAATTTCTTCTCACCCCAACAGCATGGTTTCAGGAAGGGTTACTCTTGTATAACCAACCTGCTGACTGCGGTGGACAGATGGACAAGCATCCTCGATCGCAAGGGAAAGGTTGATGTCATTTACCTTGATTTCTCAAAAGCTTTTGATAAGGTTAACCACTTGTGTCTTATCAACAAGCTCAAACGACTAGGTATCAAACCACCTCTAATCGACTGGCTTACTTCATACCTAAAAAATCGACACTTTAAGGTTAGGGTTAATTTCACTTTATCTCAGGCTATGGAATGTCCTAGTG